AAAATGCTTAGAAGGACTCACTTACACTTCCATGCAGGAAGGAAGGGAAAAAGTTCTGAGCAGTGTTGATCCGCTCTGAAAGCAAATTCTTTCCCATGAGAAACGTTCCTCCATGAAAAGGGAGATGAGAGCTTCAAAGACAAAGAGCAAAATGTCCAACCTAGGGTGATGAAAGAGCTGGAGTTGTAAAGTTCAAGTATCTACAGGGGAGAGAGACGGCCAAGTGAATTTTGTGCCTTCTGTGAGGGGCCAGAGTTAGTTTCCTCAATTTATAGAAAAAGACTCAAACTGACAGGGCAGACATGACCTGCCCTGGGGCACATGGCTTGTTAGAGATGGAGCTAGGAAGAGACCACAGGTCACTTAGGATCTCTCCTTCTCTCTCACAGACAGCATACTATGAGGAGAGGTGAAAATGGACTTAAGTGCCTAGTGTAGCCATCAATCTAGGCAGAACAAAGGCATCCAGTCATCCTAAGATTCAAGGATGTCGACAAATAGGAGTGGATTACTGTCCCAATAAGGAAAGACAGCCTTTGAGAACCAGCTAGCCACACCTCCAAATTCCCACACAGCCATGAGGTAAATGAAACACACTGCCAAGGTAGGTTCTGATCCATGAGCACTTAATCCAGGGAGGGAGTCCCGGAGCAGGTCATTTCCCATTCTGCAACGTCCCTGTCCAGCCAGTTATGGATGGATTTGCATTTTGCTTAGGAAATTGCTGGGCCAGCCCAGCGTGAGGAACTTCCACTTCCCCTTGGGTGGGGAGAAAGTCCTATAAAGAGGTCCTCTGGTGCACAGCTACCGTACTTCTGGCAGTAGAGTCCCAAAGTGTCTCAGGAAATCTGGAGAAAGCTTCCACTGACCATACTCAGAGGAGGATCATCTCTGCACTGTGACCTAAGGTCCTTCTAAAGAGCTAGGACATCACCTCTTCAATATCTGGGAAAGTTCTGTGATCTCAAAACACTATCACTGAGAGAGTGCACGCAGTCCCTTCTTTCCTCCTTAGCCCCTTAGCATCAATTTGCTCTACATTAGCAAGACCTTTACTCACACTTACAAAAAAATTTCCACCTTTCTTCAAGAGCAATACAGCTTGGATGGTGGCCAAAGACGTCTGCAGAAAAGCATACTGAGTTTATGACATGCTAGTCAATCCTATGAGAACCTTGTTTCAACCTTCCTCCCTTTAAAGAACATCCACTGAGGATCTCACAAAGTTTCCTGGGGGAAGGACTCAAGTACTAGGGAGAGAATCAGCAGGATTCAGACCTGTCCTCAAGGGGCTTGCAATCTAACATACAAGCCGTTGTCATTCAGTAGTAGGTGATGTGTTAAATTTCAAAGAGTGGAGGAGATTTCCTTGTCATTCTCTTCATATTTCCATTGTGGTCACTTAGGAACATAAGAAAGGATATGCACAGCCTTCATTTCAGGAGTTTAATGACTAGAAGGTGGAGCACGGACAAAACAGAACACAGAGTAGCAGGAACACTCAAAATTAAATTGACACCCATGGCCCCAGGATATTTCAAACAAGGGGAGAGTAAGACCATCAAGTAATTTCAGAAGGGAAAAACAACGATAGCACCCTTGAACTTTGTAGGCTATTAGAATAAGAAGACTGTCCACAGGCAGACGAGGTGAGTGATTTGGTTTTGTGGAACTTCTTCTCCCCTTTCTTGTATACTGCCTACCTGCATTTTAAGGGCCACTGTCACATTAGGCAGGGCATTGCACCAATTCCCAAGGGCTCTTTTAGTGCACTATGATGCAGAAAACTGAGGTTCATGAGAAAATAAAGAGAACAGCAGAATATAAAGAATAATAGAGTTTAAAACTCTTTTTTCCCTAATGGTGCATCCTGGCACATGTTTGGAAACCCAGCATTCTGGGAGGCTGAGAAGAAGGATCCCAGGTTAAAGCACAGCCTGGGCAACTCAGCGAACTAGTGAGACCTGGTCTCAAAAGAGAAACTTTCTAAAGTGGCTACACACAATGGCATTGCAAAAACAAGGGGTTCAATAGCTAGCCCCCAAAGTACAATAAAAAGTAAAAGTGTTTTAAAATAACTACATAAAATAAAATAAATTGTTTCCCCTCAATACTACGTATATAAAGTCACCTTCTTGGTGGAGCAAATACGGGGGTTGTGTTGGTGATGATGACAATGGAAATATTGATGATCTCCTCTGCTGATAGGCACATGCTTAATGGGAGTCAGGCATTGTGCCCAGCAAAGGACGTGTGTTACTTTAGCATTACAGAAAAGTTTGTAGTGTCCGTGTCAGTTTCCATGCATTGTGATAGAGAGATTAAAATTCTGAGGAGTTAAACAATGTGTTGCTGAAAACAATGAAACATTAATTAAGGAAAATGCCATGACTTTGAAACGATGAGTATAACTTTCTATGTCCCAAGATTCAGACATCATAATTTTGGGAGCCAGGCCTAGAGATTAAACACAGATATAAACACACCAAAATGACATGGCTTTGCCAATAAAGCTGACGTTAGAAGAAAGAGAATATTTATGCTATCACCAAAACATGGACTTTATTCAGGAAGCGACAGTGAGGTTACAGTTTCCCAGGTGATTGAAACCCCTGCCCAGCTGACGAGGCTCAGAGGACACCATCAGATGGGAGCAAGGGAGAGATGCTGCTCTTCCACGCTAAGGTCTGGGATGGTGGCACCGCTGAGAAATGCCCTTCCTCAGTCTCTTCCTGGACAGTGATCACACAAGGGTTTCAGGAAGAATTCCTCTAGCTGGGAGGGAGGAGTCATCAGAGGCAGATTACAGATGAGAGGGTGAAGAAGGTTCTTCTGTGTCCTTGACAGGGTTTGAGGAGAAGAGAAAGGTGCCGCTATAGAAGGAGATCAGTGGGGGTAGTTTCCCATTCCTTTTCATGAGCTGAGGAATCCTGAGGCTGTCACTTGTTCTTGGGTGGGCACTTCTGCTGGCAGGGTGGGGGAGGCTGCACAGGAGGACATTTGTGTTGTGGAGGTGGGCGTGGCTCAGGGCACTTTGGAGGTGGGCACGGCTCTGGGCTCTTTTTCGGGTGGCACGGCTCTGGGCACTTTGGAGTTATGACCACAGGAGGTGGCTGGCAGGGCTGCTTGCACTGCTGCTGTTGGTAAGACATGTTTCCAGAGTCTCAGGATCTGAAAGAAATTATATGGCCATGTTCAGAGGAGGGAACTGACACAGTAAACAGAAGGAAAAATGTATGCAACATCAATGCATATTTTTTCTCTTGCTTAAAGTATTCTCTTCTTAAGACTTTATGGATTCTGTCTTGCACTTTATCAGTCTAATTCCTCAGTGTTGGGGGAAAAAAAACTTTTGCTCACAAAAAGCATTCACAAGTTCAAAGTCCTGAGCCTCTCACCCCCGTCATCATTATCTCCTGAGAACTTCACTGGGGAAATTGGAGAAGAGAGCAATGGCTACTCAGAAAGAATTGAAGGATCTCACAACTCCTTAAGTCATAGAAGTTTGGAAGGGACACCAGAAGATATGAAAAAGAGAGCACTACTTTGTTCAGCCTTTTCATTCAAGTCCAGGCTTCCCTGGCAGCCTAGTGTTCCCTGTGGGTACCAAGTCGTCTACCCAACAGAAGCAAATGACACTCAGAATGTGTCATCTGACCCAGTCTTAAGTTTCCACCAGTTAAGAGACATCCATGCCTTAGTCATAATTTGAACACACACAACTTGCCATCTCTGGTTAAATTCAATGAACAAGTGCAGAGACCGAGAGACAGGCTGACTCAAAATCAGACTCACCAGTTTCTGGAGTGCACTTTGGGACTCTACTGCCAGAAGTACAGTAGCTGTGCACCAGAGGACCTCTTTATAGGACTTTCTCCCTACCCAAGGGGAAGTGGAAGTTCCTCACGCTGGGCTGGCCCAGCAATTTCCTAAGCAAAATGCAAATCCATTCATAACTGGCTGGACAGGGACGTTGCAGAATGGGAAATGACCTGCTCCGGGACTCCCTCCCTGGATTAAGTGCTCATGGATCAGAACCTACCTTGGCAGTGTGTTTCATTTACCTCATGGCTGTGTGGGAATTTGGAGGTGTGGCTAGCTGGTTCTCAAAGGCTGTCTTTCCTTATTGGGACAGTAATCCACTCCTATTTGTCGACATCCTTGAATCTTAGGATTACTGGATGCCTTTGTTCTGCCTAGATTGATGGCTACACTAGGCACTTAAGTCCATTTTCACCTCTCCTCATAGTATGCTGTCTGTGAGAGAGAAG